CTCTGAATTTCCGAATTTCTGAATTTCTGAATTTCCGAATTTCTGAATTTCCGTATTTCTGAATTTCTGAATTTCTGAATTTCTGAATTTCTGAATTTCTGAATTTCTGAATTTCTGAATTCCTGAACTTCTGAATTTCTGAATTTCTGAATTTCCGAATTTCTGAATTTCTGAATTTCCGAATTTCTGAATTTCCGAATTTCTGAATTTCTGAATTTCTGAATTTCTGAATTTCTGAATTTCTGAATTTCTGAATTCCTGAATTTCTGAATTTCCGAATTTCTGAAATTCTGAATTTCTGAATTTCTGAATTTCCGAGTTTCTGAATTTCTGAATTTCTGAATTTCTGAATTTCTGAATTTCTGAATTTCTGAATTCCTGAATTTCTGAATTTCCGAATTTCTGAATTTCTGAATTTCTGAATTTCTGAATTTCTGAATTTCCGAATTTCTGAATTTCTGAATTTCCGAATTTCTGAATTTCCGAATTTCTGAATTTCTGAATTCCTGAATTTCTAAATTTCCGAATTTCTGAATTTCTGAATTTCTGAATTTCTGAATTTCTGAATTTCTGAATTTCTGAATTTCTGAATTTCTGAATTTCTGAATTCCTGAATTTCTGAATTTCCGAATTTCTGAATTTCTGAATTTCCGAATTTCTGAATTTCTGAATTTCTGAATTTCCGAATTTCTGAATTTCTGAATTTCCGAATTTCTGAATTTCTGAATTTCTGAATTTCTGAATTTCTGAATTTCTGAATTTCTGAATTCCTGAATTTCTGAATTTCCGAATTTCTGAATTTCTGAATTTCCGAATTTCTGAATTTCTGAATTTCTGAATTTCCGAATTTCTGAATTTCTGAATTTCCGAATTTCTGAATTTCTGAATTTCCGAATTTCTGAATTTCTGAATTTCCGAATTTCTGAATTTCTGAATTTCTGAATTTCCGAATTTCTGAATTTCTGAATTTCCGAATTTCTGAATTTCTGAATTTCCGAATTTCTGAATTTCTGAATTTCCGAGTTTCTGAATTTCTGAATTTCTGAATTTCCGAATTTCTGAATTTCTGAATTTCTGAATTTCCGAATTTCTGAATTTCTGAATTTCTGAATTTCCGAATTTCTGAATTTCCGAATTTCTGAATATCTGAATTTCCGAGTTTCTGAATTCCTGGACTTCTGAATTTTTAAGAGTTTTCGAGAATTTTCATTTCTTGTAAAAAATTCGAAAATTTCGAAATTTCCATTTTTTCCGTAAAACCTGTATTAGAAGGGCAGGCTATTAGAGGGGGTCCTTTTATATTTTTCCGAGCCCCTTTCGGAGGGCCTTTCTGTTAGAGCCTTCTATTAGGGGCCCTGAAAACAAAAGGGCCCGGAAAATTACAGAAATCCGAGATTTTCATTTTTTCCAATGTTTTTCTGGTTTTCACTTTTTGAAATATAAACTATTTTCAGTTCATTTTACTGTATCTACCTAACTAGAGATCATCACGAGCTTCAAAATGAGCCCAAACACGACTAGGTTCTGCGCACTTTGAATTTTCAGGCGCGTCGCGGTCGTGCGTCGCGTGTGCAAAGGGAAATTTCAAATTGGGCGGAGCCTAGTCGTGTTTGGGCTCATTTTAAAGCATTTTTTCCGACAAACCCAGTGTTGTTGTTCCTAAAGTTCAAAATCAGTAAAAAAAGACCTGAAAATCCGAAATTTTGATTTTCCGGACTTTTCAGTTTCTGAATCTTGGAAAAAAAACCCCCCGAATTTTTCTTATTTTTTCATGAACTCTTTAAATGTTTTAAAAATTTTTTTAATTTTTTTTTTTCAGAAATTTGGGTATCCAATTCTTATCAGTTTCCCCCCTTCCAATATTATTGGCTCCGCCACATTTCTTCCCGTTCTTCGGGAATGATTATAGTGAGTTTTTTCCTAATTAGCAAGCCAAAAAAGACTGTCTAGGGCTGAAAAAATCTGAAAAATCCAATTTTCTTATCAAAAATCACTTATCTCTGATAGTTTTCCCAGAAACTTGATTTTTTTTTAATTCAAAAATTTGAGTTTTTGAAATTTTTCCATTTTTTCAGCCAAAAAGTCTAGGTGTAAAAAACCCAATTTCTAGAGTTAAAAAATCTGAAAAATTCAAAATTCATATCAAAAATCATTTATCTCTTATCATTTTCCAAAAAATCACAATTTCAGGTGTTTTTGCTCATCGTCAGGATGACGCTAATCACAGAGACGTGTCTACAAACGATACCCGGAACCACTCCATCGCCAACAGGTTTGTAGTTTTTGTAGTTTGTAGTTTGTAGTCTAGACTACAAACTACAAAACTAGTCTTTGTAGTCATGTAGTCGGGGCTACAAACTACAAAAAAAATTTAAATTTCAAAAATTCCCATCTGTGTGTCTGTTTGTCCATCACAAAACTGTCTTGTCTCTCTGTGTGTCTGTGTGTCAGAATGTCAAGAAAATCACATAATAGTTAAAAAATTTTTAATTTTGGAAAACTGAAATTTGGGAAAAAGTTTCAAAAAAAATTTTTTTGCAAAATTTCAGATTTTTTTCCTAAATTTGATGGTTTTTTTTGCATCAAGAGCTATACCAATGTATTTATTTTAAAACGCGCTTCAAAATGAGCCCAAACACTACTAGTCTCCGCCCACTTTGAGATTTCCCTTTGCACACGCGACGCACGACAGCGACGCGGCTGAAAATTCAAAGTGGGCGGAGCATAGTCGTGTTTGGGCTCATTTTGAAGCTCTCATCAAGACAAGTACATTAAAATAAGTTTCCATAGACTTGGGCGAATTTTCTAGACCAAAAGATGAAAAATATTTTTCAAATTTTCAAAAAAAAAAGTCCTTCTGTGTGTCTGTTTGTCTATTTTTCTTCACGTTTCACAGGTACCAGCACCACATCCACAACCACAACCACTACCACCACTGTTGCTCCCACTGGTGAGTACAGTAATCCAAATGTTCATAATTTTCCAAAAAAAAATGCAAATGCGCTCTGCTGGACGGTTCTCTAGAGCGCATTTGCTGCACAGCGTCTCACTGTAAATTTTCCAAAAAAAGTTTCAAATTTTTTTTGCAGATTGCTGCCCAGAAGTACCGTATATGCTAACGAGTTCTGATTTTCCTGATGGAACACCTTCCTATGTGTATAATAGTCTAACGTGTCGAACTACAGTAACCATGACTTGCTCGTGAGTTCGAAAACCACTTTTTCAAATAAAAAAAAGTGAATTCTCGGAGCCAGCAAATGCGCTCCAACGCAAAAGCTGCAAATTTTGCGTATTTTGGGGTTACAGTAACTTTAGAAGGTACAGTAGTCGATTAAGACTACAGTAATCCAAGTCAAGGGGGTCAGAACTCTTTACAGTACGCCTTGGTCATCTACGGTAACCAGGAATTTTCCCTTCTACCCTAGGTACATTAATTCTGAAGCAGAACAACTACAGTATTCCTATCTACAGTAACCCAGGAGGATCCAAAGTACAGTATTCCTCTAAAGCTACAGTAATCGAGAAATCGGAAGCTACAGTAACCCTTCAAAACTATCGTAATCCGAAAACTGAAATCTACAGTAACCATGGAAGACTACAGTAATCCGAAGAATGGGAATCTACAGTAATTCTACTAAACTACAGTACCTGTCTATTCTGCTACAATAGCCCATTGCTACAGTAATCCAAAAAAAAACTTCGCTCTACAGTACCCCTCTATTCCGCTACAGTAATCCAAAATAGGAATCTACAGTAACCCAGGAAGATTAGTGATCCTTCAAGATTGTACAGAAACCCTTCAAAACTACAGTAACCCGAAACTTTGGCCTACAGTATCCCAATGCTACAATATTCAATAAAGATTCTACAGTATTCCAGCAAATCTACAGTGACCGTTCAAAACTACAGTAATTCAAATCTACAGTAATCCGAAGAATCTGAAACTACAGTAACCAGATCCTATAGCCTACAGTACTTCAACCTACAGTAATCCGGCGGCCCCATGCTACAGTAATCTATGAAGATTCTACAGTAATCCTGAAAATATTCAACTACAGCATTCTGCTACAGTAGCGTAATGCTACAGTGGCCCTATTCAGCTACAGTACTACAGTAATCCTAAACTACGGTAATCGGGAAACCGGAATCTACAGAGCTCATTCAAAACTACAGTAATCCAAAAAAGAGAATCTACAGTCTTCCTTGAAAACTACAGTAAGCAAGATTTTCGAATCTACAGTAATACAGTGGCCCAAAAGCTTGGACCCTATTCTGCTACAATCTACAGTTACCCGAGGAATTTGAAACTACAGTAACCCAATGCCACATTAATCCCGCAAACTCTATTCTGCTACAGTAACCTAATCCTACAGTAATATTTTTTTTCTAATTTTTCTTTTTTGTTTTCTAGCGCGATTTTTTGCTCTTTTTTCGAATTCTTCAAATTCTTCAGGATTACTGTATTTTTTCAAAAACTACAGTAACCCATAGGCTCCGCCCACTTTTTCAATCGATTTCTTCCAGAACCACTGATGCGTCACTGGATTTGTATGCGGCCATCGTGGGAAATGAGATTAACTATTTGGAATACGCTCAGAATACCGCATCGTCCACTTTTCAGTGCCAGGGAGGCAGTTGGTAAGGTTTTTGTGGACATCCGGACATTTGGACACACAGAACACACATTTTGAGCCATTTTTCGTGAAATTTGGTCTAGTTTGAGCCTAGTTATGGTATATTTCGAGTGATTTTTCGTTAATTATATTCAGTTTATTACATTTTTCGAATAATTTGGCAAAATTTAAGCTACTTTTCATAAAAAATGGACCATTTTTAACCCAGTTTCAATGATGTTAACATTTTCCGGACATCCGGACACACAGACAAACATAAATTCGTGGTTTCGGTATGTTTTAGGCTATTTTTTGCGATTTTCCTCCATTTTAAGTGATTTTCAGTAATTTTTGAGTAATTTTAATTGGTTTTTCGTGACATTTTGACTACTTTAAGCTAGTTACGACACTTTTAACAATTTGTAGACATCCGGACACACAGACACACAAAATTTTGTGATTTCTGGCCATTTTTTGAGGTTTTTGGTCAGTTTTTAAGCAATTTTTCTAAATTTTAAACTATTTTAAGCCATTTTTCATGGAAATTGGACTATTTCGAGCCATTTTACGCAGATTTCGGACATACAGGCATCCGGACATACAGACACACAGAGTTTTGTGATTTTGGCAGATTTTAAGCCATTTTCAATGTCTTTAGTCGATTTTAAGTCAATTTTTATGTGATTTATACTGCTTTGAGCCTTTTTTGTGGAATTTAGGCAATTTTTAGCCCAACAATTGTCCGAAAAATCAATTATCGATTTTTCTAATTGCAGGACCTATACAGCACAGGGATCAACACTTGTGCTGACTTCTGTGGAGTGTATTCTCACAAATCCGCCGACTGGAAAATAATTATTTTTGTTTTAATTAATTTTTCAGAAATTTAAGAATTTTCGAAAAAATTTTATTTCGAAACTGTTAAATTTGACAAATTAATTTTTTCGTGCGGGTTTTTAACAATGAAGTATTGATTTTTTCTGATTTTTTCGATTTGTTATAGTCTATTTTTTTTCAGACTTTTTCAGCCAAAAAATCAATTATCGATTTTTCAGAAATTCGAATCCGGAGGTTCCTTTGAGGGCTGCACTCGTGGGAAACCGATTAGAATGGCTCGACTACTTCGAAAACACGATTGCACTACAGTTTGTGTGCTCTAATGGAGCTTGGTAGGTCAAAAAAATTTTTGTCGCCAAAACTTTTTTCTTCAAAAAATTTTTAATTTTTTCTGGACATTCACTGCTGACGGACAAACTCTGGTGCTGACTGAAGTCAATTGTGTGCTCACCAACCCATCGGAAGTTCCTGGAGAATAATTCGATATAAAAACTCTAATTTTTACATTATCGGATCATTATAACTAAATTGAATAAATAATAGTTTCTCAATTGCATTCTCTTTTTTAGATACAAAAATCATGAAAATTGATTCGGAGTTTGCTGAAAATGGGTGAAATCGCGGCTGATTTAAAAAACTAGTTTTTTGAATCCCGTTGGTTTCCCTCCAAAAATTCACCTGCGACACTCCGTTCTCCCGCCCTGCGCCTGTTTAGCAGAGAATTTATTTGAATTAAATTCGCATCTTTTAGACTTTTTAACTCGATTTTCCGCGATTTTCACTGGTTTTTGGTAATTTTTTTGAAAAAAAATCAATTTTCAGCACTAAAAATGACCGTAACCATCGCGTCGAACACCGATGTGTTCCTGAATCCACAAAAAACCGAAGCACAACAGCTGATGTCGGCTCCAGAAACCATGCAGCATGCCGATGTGAAATTGTCAAAAGTGTGTAAAAAATTGGACAAAAAGCTTAGTTTTAAGCCAAAAAATTTTTTTTCTGAAAAATGCCGAAAAATCAAAGTTTCTAGGCTAAAAAAGCGAGAAAAAGTCGATTTTCAGTGATTAAAATCTCTAAAACTCAATTTTACAGCTCAAAAACTGCAAAGAAAAACTATAAATTTCGACCTAGACCAATTTCAGTCCATTTAGCACAATTTCAGCTTATTTCGGCTCATTTTGACTCAAAAAACATGATTTTTAGCTCATTTTCAGCCAAAAATCCCGAATTTTCAGGTCCTTTTCACCAAAGACGACAGTAATTCGGAGATTCTGCTCCTCGGCAAGGGACGTGGCCGATGTGTCGCCTTATGGGACAGAGACGATGGAATTGATCCATTCCGGGTTTTGTCGATCAAAAATACAGATGTGGACCCAAATGATGCTTGGTAAGTGATTTTTAGTCGAAAAATCGGGAAAATCCAGGTTTTTTGACCCAGAAATCGTAAAAAATGGTCCGAAATAGCCGATTTTCAGCCAATTTTCTCGAATTTTTCAGCAAAATGACCGATAACCGAGTGTGTATCGGGTATGCAGATGGATCCCTAGCGATGTTCAATACGGATAAGGAGGATTTGGCTTTGGTAGGATCTCTGGGCGATTTTAGGCTCAAAAATTGAATTTTTCAGCTATTTTGAGCGCAAAAAAGCTGAAAATTCAACTATTTTCAGTCAAAAAAAGGTCAAAATTCTAGAATTTTCGCTCAGGAAGAATCTGGAAGTTTTTGCCTGAAAAATGTCATTTGTAGACGATTTTAAGCCTAAAAATAGAGTTTTAGGTCGATTTCGAGCCTTTAAAAGCCTGAAAACTAGTTTTCCGACCCAAAAATTCGAATTTCCCGCCAAATCTTGACCTAGAAACGTCAAAAATCTCTTCCAGATGTCTCGTATCCCATCGATTCACAATGGATGTGCCAGTCGAGCGATTTGTCTCAATGGAAATGCGATTTTGAGGTATTTTCAATAAAAATCATGATTTTTAGACTAAAATTCGGTCCAAACGTGTCAAAAATGCGATTTTGGGGCTCGAAAATCGGTTTTAACACTGAAAATTGCTCTAAAATATCGAAAATTTCAGCTAGAAAACCCAAATTTTTAGCCAAATAAAGGCGATTTTTGACCGAAAATCACGATTTTAAGGTTTAAAAATCGAAATTTGCAGCTTTAAATTCAAATTTTAGGCTGGAAAAAATGCAATTTTCGACCGAAAAAAAGCCCCTCTGAAATTGAAAAAATTTCAGTCAAAAATCCAATTTTTTAGTCCAAAAATCACGATTTTAAGTTCTAAAAACTCAAATTTCCAGCTAAAATTGAATTTGAATTTTCAGTTTAAAATATGAATTTAAAGCTGAAAAAAGCCTCGTTTTTGTGGCGAAGATGTCTCCTCTAAAACTGTCAAAAATGCGAATTTTAGGCCTAAAAAATTGGAAATGTCTCGAAAAATTGGTCCAAAAATGTCCTCCAATATGCGATGTTCAACCCTAAATCACTATTATTTTAAGCTCTGAAAATTCGATTTTTGAGCTCCAAAATCCATATTTTCAGCCAGAGAACCCAATATTTTTTTTAAAAAATGTGATTTTCAGTATGAAAATGTCATTATAAGCTTTAAAATCCCCATTTTTGACCTTCAATTCCGAATTTTCTGCCTGAAAACGACGATTTTTGACCATAAATCACGATTTTAAGCTCTAAAAAATTAGAATTTTTAGCCAAAAAATGCTTTCAGCTTAAAATATCGATTCTAAACCTCTAAAATGCCATTTTAGGCCCTAGAACCTCATTTTTGAGCTGAAAAACCCGAATTTAAGCCTTTAAAACGCCCTAAAAACCCCAATTTTTCTCAGCGCCTCTTCCAATGGTACTCTCTCGTCGGTGGACGTGGAAACCGCGAAATCGACACGAATCTTCTCCGGACAAGCCGGAATACGGTCGATTTGTACCACTTTTTCGTCGAACGTCGCCGTGGCCGGTGATTCGAATGGACAAATCACGTTTTGGGATTTGAGAATGGATAATAGTGAGAATGGTAGGATTTGGGGCGTTTTTTGAGCTCAAATTATGCTGAAAACGACCCGAAATGGTCCAAAATGAAGGTGAAAAGGTTTTATAATGACCTAAAATGGTTCAAAATTGACCGAAAATAGTAGGAAAATGTGTTAAAATGGTCTGCAATGGTCCGAAATTTCCCATAAATTCTCTGAAACTGTCCTACAATTGGTCCAAAAAATGGCCTAAAAGTGACCCGGAATGGTCCAAAAATAAGCTGAACAGGCCTAAAAATGGCCGAAAATTGTCCGAAAATAATCTGAAACGGCCTAAAAGTGGCCTGAATTGGTCCAAAAGTGGCCTGAAATTGTCTGAAAATAATACGAAAAGGTCTAAAAATGGCTTAAAATCCTCTAAAAATGACTTGAAATGGTTCAAAAATAAGCGGAAAAGGCCTAAAAGTGGCCTAGAATGGTCCAAATTGGCCGAAATTGGTCCTAGAAAGCCACAAAATAAGCTAAAAATGTCTAAAAATGGCCTGAAACGGCCTAAAAGTGGCATGCAATGGTCCAAAAATAAGCTGAAAAGGCTTGAAAATGGCTTGAAAATGGCCTGATTTGGACCAAAAATAAGCTGAAAAGGCCTAAAATGATCCAAGCTGGTCCAAAAATAAGCTAAAAATGACCTGATATGGTCTAAATGTGCCCTGGAATGGTCCAAACAGTCTAAAAATAACTCAAAATGCTTTCAAAGTGGCCTGAAACTCTCCAAAAATAAGCTGAAAAGCCCTAAAAATGGTCTGAAATGGTCCAAAAACAAGCTGAAAATGCCTGAAATTGGTCTAAAATGGCCTAAACTGATCCAAATTGGTCCAAAAAAGCTAAAAAGACCTGAAAGGAGGGCCTAGCATGGTTTAAAATTGGCGCCTAAAATAGTAGGAAAAAAAATCTTGAAATGGCCTACAAATGGCCTGGAATAGTCTGAAAATGGTTGAAAATGGCTTAAAAATAGTCACAATTGGCTGAATTTGGTTCTAGAAAGCCCCAAAATGGTCCAAAAACGCATACTTGCAAAAATCGTTGAAGGCCCGGACAACAATTTTTTTGGTCGAAATTTCTCCAAAAAAAAAACCGGGCCTTCCTGGCCGGGCCGGGCCTTGACCAATTTTTTGAAGGCCCGGCAATGGCCTAAATAGGCCGAAAATGATCAAATTAATCAAAAGTAGGCTAAAAATGGCCTGAAATCGGTCTAAAATAGGCTCAAAATGCTCAAACTGGCGCGTTTGAGCTAAAAATTGGCTGAAAATGGCCTAAGCTAGGCCGGAATAGGCCAAGCAATCGGTCCAAAGGCGATTTTCGCACGATTTTAGGCGGATTTCAGTCATTTTAAGGCGATTTTCAGACGATTTTCAGACAATTCCAGACCGAATTCCAGCACATTTTCCCTCCAAATGCGCCATATATTTTCAGCCACCCCCTCACTGGACCCCATCAAAACGTTGATCCCATCCAAGAAGACCCTGGACCCAATCACTGCCCTCTGCTCTCATCCGGCCCAATCCAATCTGATTTCGTGTGGAACCGACGACGGAATCATTGGATTAATCGATGCGCGAAACTCGAGATCAGCCAGTATCACCTCTACGTATATGGTGGCGAAGAAGGGCATCACTCAGGTCATGTTTCATCCGACATCCAACGATTCGTTGTTGGTTTCCTCGTTGGATGGAACACTCCAGAGAATCGATGCTTCGGGAGCGCCTGTGTGAGTTTTTAGACTTGAAAATTCGAGAAAATACCGGTAAACATGTGTAAAAATGACCAGAATTCGACTGAAATAGGGTTCTAGACGTTCTAGACGTTCCAGAACGGTTCTAGAACGTCTAGTTCTATAATAGCATCAAAATTACCTTAAAAAGTTGGGAGAATTGACCCGAAAATAGCCTAAAAATTGCTCTAAAAAAAGCCCAAACTGACATCTGGACATGCACGAT